ACATGCAGAGGATGTAATAAACCCACCCTTACATTTGAAGTACATGCCATTTATTTTTCGGAAATCCTAACCGATTAGTTCAATCGCCTTAGAGTCTAAAGTAGCGTTTCCAAAATATTTTAAACTTTGACTGGGAAACGGAGTTCTTCGATGCATATAGGTATTTCAAAAATCCTCCCAAAAAGTGTATTAAATAAATTACGGTGTAGATACCTGCGCAATAATTTCACTGTCGCGGCAAACGCGATTTATTCACTACCGCTGCCGCCACGAATAAATAGCGCCAGTGTGAGTGACCCTTAAAGCTCGCCTTTGAAACCCTTATCGTTATGGTGTGTAACTTAAATATTGCTAATTGTATCTGAAATTGGACTGCCCAAAAAATAAAAAAAAAAGTGATAAAAGTGCACGTTTCCATCAAATCGTTTTAGTGTCTTCGGCGCACTTATTGCTTGCATTATAAGGAATAATTGCACCGAAGACACCCGGAAACTCACCCTTTTTATCAAACTTTTAATAATGCTCAGTTTGGTGTATAATACGTAGTATGTTAGCTCGGAATATTTTAAACCTCTATGTGCTAATCTAATAGTCCTTAACTAACTATTATCGGTACAGCTCAAAACCGGAATAACCCACTAGCGACAATCGAATTTACTATCGTTCTATTCATTATACATAGTATCGGAAGTTATAGCACATCATTATGCGATTACAGTGCCCTACTCCAGACACTTTGTGAAGTACAAAACTAGTTCCGGTTTTCAGCTGTACCGATAATATTGTAAATTTTCTTCACCGTCGTCTGTTACCCAGCAAAACAAACACGCCGGTTAAAAATCCTCAATAATATTAATACCGCATAACCGACAGATTCCCACTCCCAGGATCCACAAAATAGATACGCTAATCAGCAGTATCGCCACCACGATGCACCAGTATTGGTTATCAGTATTATCTGACACCGCAATCCGCCCTGGATAGCTAATGCCCTGGGAGGCCAACTCCATGAAAGAGGCTATAATTTCCTCTTAATACTTACCTTTCCCAACTCCGGTTACTGTGCCATACAATCCTCCGGTCCACTTCGCGATTCTCATGTTGATGTGGATGTGTTTTGATTATCGGGGAATTTACGTTTAAAGCCATTGTTTAAGTTTGCTTGTTCCGCCTATGTCAATTGTTGGTCTAGAAATGCTCGTTTGTATACACTCTGCGATCGGAGCGCGAAGTTTGACACTTGATGCTCTAGCAGAGTGTAAGCGAACAAGCATACAATTTTTATGCTTGTTCGCTTACTCTGCTAGAACCCGAGCGTCAAGTGTCAAACTCCGTGCTCCGATCGCAGAGTGTAAATAAACGAGCATAAATTCCACCACAGAGATGGTCTAACCAGCCATACAAAAAAATGTCTAACGTTAGTCTCACGTTAGACTAACATGTTAGATCGAAACGAGCTGTAACGTCTAACAGACTGTGTCATATCAGTCTAATATTAGACGAACATTAGACTAACGTTAGACCAAATGTTAGTCTAATGGTCTAACGTGTTAGACTAACGTTAGACTCATGTTAGACTAACCTTCCGTGCTGGGAATGTATTTACATCGACCCCAATGAGTTGTCTACAGGTACGACGATTAGAATTTGTCGTTTCATTCGTTCTCCTGCTATTTAAAGGGTTGATGCATCAGTGTCAAACTCTAATCTATTTAAATAATGGGAGAACGAAAGAGATGACAAATCGAGCGCCTCTTTCAGCTGTCCAATCAGTTCGATGTTTTGTCGAAGAGCAAAAACAGTAATGCGCGATATTTCGATGTTTCTGTGAGGAGATTTCTGGAGTTCTTTTTGATTGGGTCGTATCTGGTCGTATGTAACTTTTTTGTCAATTAGAGAGACGGGGTGTTTTGTTTTGGTGAACAAAAAATTGTTTCTATTTCCAATGAGGTGGATAGCGGCGCCGGTGGTGTAGTGGTAAGTGTGACTGCCTCTCACCCCAGCAGGCCTGGGTTCAATGCCAGTCGGCGCCACCGGGATGTTCTGAGGCATAACATCTCTGATCACGCCTTCCTTCGGAAGGGAAGTAAAACCGTTGGTCCCCGGTTCATGAGTTGATGGCTCGATAGGTAGGGTCCAGGTGTGGGAGCTGCCTCTCTGGCGTCGGTAGCATTGGTGCTCAGCACGGAAAACAAGATCGACGGAAAACAAATCAAGGATACCCAGATCGGTCAAAACTGAACCTACCCATAAATGGGTAAACTGTGTTGGGAGCTAGGTTGGGAGTGACAAGTTGACAAATGAACAACGTGCATCGGATTCATGTCAATGTTGTTCATTTGTCAACTCGTCACTCCCAACACTCCCATTTTTGGGTAGGTTCAGTTTTGACCGATTTGAGTCGATTCTACCCAAATTTGGATAGTTTTCAAATAGCGTGTGGTTGCCCAACCAGCGAATTTAGACTGTACAACCAATTATTGAATGTTCATATTAATTATGCATTGTGTGTTTATAGGAATCAATTCCTAAATGGAATCCGAACCTGCGAAAAAACATCACCGGGGAAATGAAGGAAACGATTCTTCGTTCCTTTCTAAAGAATATCTTCATGAAGCGGATCCAGAAGAAACGAACGAGTTTGATGAGGCGTTAAACGACATGACGAATGAAGACTCGATTGAAGACCCTCCTGGAAGTGCTATATCAAATATTTACGATTTGGATTTTTATGATGAATAGGCGGCTGGATGTTCAACTCTACCAGCCGATTCGTCCAACATTGATCATGGCGATTCTTCCAGATGGCTGTTTGGGTGTTGATTGCTGGTTGCTGGAGATTGGAAAGTGGGGAGTGTGGTGCTTTATTCGAATGTATAAAAAAGATACGTGAGAGTGAGGGAAAATCCAGGAAATCCCGACACAGCTAGCAGCCACTGGGGAAACGGATGCAATATACGTAGGGTATAAATACGGGCTACTTAAGCTCGTTGAGGACATTCTTGTGACGAATTTGGAAGAGGACGGAAGAGCAGCAGCAGAAACAGCAGCAGCAGAAGCGGCAACAGCAGCAGGATTAGAAGTCGAGAAAGCTGTATTGTGGATTCGTGTCGAGGGGCGCGCCCTTCCAGATATAAGTGCGTGATATTTAAATTACATCGTAATAAGTTAAATACTTTGAAGACAGTAATAACAACAATCAATACGAAACTAACGATTTTAAATTGGCTCACCACTTTAGTAGCCTATTGGTCCCAAGCAAACGATTAACGTACCCTATTCTAGTTGAAATTCTAGTACTACGCAATGTTTGTTTTGATTCGCTATGAAAGTTTGACAGATAAAATGAGGGGTTATTGGTTTTTCCTATGTTTCGAGGGGTGAATCGATTAGCTTGGGACCGAAGAGAGTACCAGAGCTGCGCCAAAAAGTTGAGCACGTTATTTCGGGACCTTCTAGTCTTAGAGTTACCTCTATGGTAATAATTAGAATTTAAATACTTCAAGCGGTATTGAAAGTAATCAACAAATAATTAACGATAATTTATGTGATGAAAAATTATTTAACTATATTGTAAATAATATAAATATAAAATTTTGAGAGTAATTAAAGTATTTGTTGAAATTAAGAGTGTATTTAAAGTATTTAATGCAGTAATGGCAAGATTTTAAATATTTGGTCAGCAGGCTGTGTAGTATTGAAAGACTAGTGCGTGTCCCTCGATTCGTGTAGCCATGACCGAGGCTGGAAACCTCGGTCCGGCCACGTCACGACAGAGAGTTGCATTGGGAGTTGCTGGAAATACACCGAGTGAATTCATAAAAAAAAAGAGAAAAGCAAGATTGACAAACGCTACCGAGAACGCTGCACTATATTATATAAACCATTCATTATATCACATATTGTTGTTACATTCACTCTAACATAACTTGGAGCGTTTGGTACGATATGTCCACGCATCCTTCCACCCCTGTAGATTCATGAAATGAATAGCTGTTTAAATAGATTTATTTAAACTCGAATCATTTAACAGAATCATCTTTGCTGCAAATGCAACGCAGTAGGCTTGGCCGTTTTGATGTTTATGTTATATCAAAGATATGCTGCAAACATCAATGTGTTGACTAGAAAAATGATTTGGTTATCCTGTAGCTCCGTCGTGTTTTTTGTTTGTTTCTTTATTAAAGAGACTTTTAGCTATATGCTGATTCATCTGCGGTGGTGTAGTGGTAAGCGTGATTACCTCTCACCCCAGCAGGCCTGGGTTTTATCCCAGTCGGCGCCGCCAGGATGCTCTGAGGCATAACATCTCTGATCACGCCTTCCTTCGGAAGGGAAGTAAACCCGTTGGCCCCCGGTTCATGAGTTGATGGGTCAATAGGTGGGGTCCAGGTGTGGGAGCTGCCTTCTTGGCGTCGGTAGCATTGATGCTCAGATCGACGGAAAAACAAATCAAGGAAAAAATAAAATAATTACAGTCAACTTTTCGTAATTAAAGTAAATAAATTTCATTTTCAATACTTTACATAAGTACGGATAGTTAATTTCATTAACGTCAATACTACTTAAAAAGGCATTAATTACTTTAAGTACTTTTGATTGCATTTTTACTTCAACGCATCGGTTCTTTGTTTCCCCTCGGCAACTTGCTCAATGCGAATACGAATGCAAGGAGTCTGCCCTAATAAAATTTATATGTTTATTTTGCTTAATGACGCGTTCAGGGTATTATCCAAACCATTTTTGGAATAGTTCAATCATTTGGGTTATCGTATTTTTTTTATTAGGGTGCTTTGGTGAGAAATTCGCAATAAATACAAATAAAAATTATTTGTTTATATTTGCTACATTCGACCTATTCAAAATGTACTGCAGATTATGGTAACCCTTATTTTAGCACTACGAATTTTCTTTGTTCTCGAAGCGAAGAGCAAAATCCTATGCTCTCGAATATGTAGCTGTCAAACTCTTTGTTTACGATCGTTTGCCAGCATAAAACTCTCAGTCAGTGTGGGAAACTTGAAGATTCGTTTGCATCTGGGAAGTAGATTCTGTTGTGCGTTGAGTTTTGTGCAAAATTTTCAAATAAAAACCTTCACCACTGCATCATCAAGGTAAGTGAGATTTCCTTTTGTGGAGTTCGTTACAGTTATTTCATTGGAAAAGCTGTGCAGTTTCCTATTTCGTGTCAGGTTGTGTGATGAGATTTTGTTTTGTTTCTCGATCCCACCCAGCAGCTGATTCCAAACAACAAATACAACACAATTTGTGCGTCTCGAATGCAGGTGCGTTTGGATGGGGAAACGGATCTGGTGGAAACTGTGGACGACTGTGACGAGCCAAATTGCGTCTCTTTCGAATCAGTTTAGAGGAAGCGATGGAAACGGCAGCAGAAGCTGATCCAGACACCTCCGGGGGTTCAGCCAACCTGTTTGAGGAAGAGCTGGTTCAAGTTCAACCCAGATCCACTACGGATGGCGTGGAGAGTGTAGCCCGATCAAGCGAGGAAGTAGAGGTTTTGGAGCAATCGGAAGAAGATTTCTACGTTCCAGCGGATGTAGTTCCCGTAGGGTCGGAACCTCCTGAAGATGTAGCTCAAGAGCAAGGCGCTGCTATGTTCATCAATCAACCGACGATAAATATGGAAATCGATCTGGCCCGAGTTCAACAGCCTAGCTTTATGTCGCCTGTGGTGATTTTGAACAGCAGTTTGATGGTGGAACCCGTTCCGGAAGTGCAAGCGACAATAGAAATTCTGGAGGATGATAGTGAACGAGGCGATGAGGACGAAGGGAGCAGTGCAGCAGCAGCAGTTTCAGCTGCTACAACGGCTGCAATGATGGAAAGTCCGATTGTGCTGATCGAGGATACATTGCGAATGGGAGGACACGGTCAAGAGCCCCAAGCTGGACCGTCTACTTCGAGGAATCTTACGGAAACACCGCGAGGTCGTGAGTATTGTTTTAGTTTTTTTTTCTTTTTGCACGAGGTTCTCAAAAACGTTTGAGTTGTGCTCATTCAAAAGTTCTAGTTATGAAACTAAAAAAAAATCGATCGGCAAAGGTTAACTTGATGGAGTCCTCGGTAGCAAGGGCTCTAACAGTTTTCAGTAGGGCTCAATTTTTGCGTATTCTTGATTCATTTCAATAATTATTCTTTAAAAATGCTTTAGAAAACCCCACAAGTTTATACGTCATTGGAATAGGAGAAGTTAGGGCTTTCATTTTAAATGTTAAACAATTTTGGCGGCCATATTGAATTGTATATTGATATTGGATTTATTGTTAAAAATACGTTTTTCTTACGCTTACCTTCAGCCGATCTTAATTGCTACATCGAAATTTGAACTGCATCTTATAGGAACAAGTCTCAGCTTTCTAATGGCCTGCTTGTTTTTAAAATCGGTAGAAGCTAAGCTCAAAATAAACGCATTTTTAAAAATAAATCCAATATGGCGGCCAAATTAAATATGGCCGCCAAAATTTTTTTAATATGCCAAGCCAAATGAATGCCCTAATTTTTCCCTTTACTATGATGTATACAAATGAGGGGTTTTCTTGAGAATTTTCAAAGATATAATTATTTAAATTAATCATGAAGAGATCAATCAAAGAATCCCAGCAGATCTGTGCTTCAATATGTATACTGGTGTACGTGGATGTAAAAATGAAAATTCCTACATCGCTGCATTTCCTCAGTCAGAAGGGAAATATACACCCAATCCTTTTTTCTGTGGTCTGTAGGTAGGGCAGAGAACTCCTTCGGCCTAATCGCCCATTTTGGGCCTATCGAGTAGAAAACATCCATCCATGATTTCGGCGTTTACGATTCAATTATACGTTTTTTTTTCCTGTGTTGGAGACATAATACCACCGCGACCATAACTTTGATCTATTGTGGTGTATCATCTTTTGATTTTGCCGTAACGCAATGGTAAGATGCTATTTATATTAGCAGCCACCACTACTGTTGTTGGCAATTATCCCAAACAGGTAATGCATTCCTTATGAAATGTATAACTTGATTGGGAGAAGCAGCCCAGATTTCTCAGGGTTCCATATATACGTCGTTTGTGAAATAGTGCAACGCAGTCACACAGCAAATGTTTAGAGCTCTCACTCTCTAGTTTACAAAAACGGCATCTGTCTTCATCAACATTTCCGATAAGTTTAAGGTGATATTTACTAGGACAGTGTCCTGTAATCAAACCAGTATATGTACTCAAATCGTGTTTCGATAAGGTCAGCAGTTTTTGTGTGTGCAAAGCGTTGGGCTCTATGAAACGTTTTGATTGCCGGGCATTTAAGGTATTATTCCAGTTGCACTGTACCTTTATTCTTTCCCAGTTATTGAACTCCATTTTAAGAGCACAAAAAGATAATCCTAAAAATGGTTCAGGTCCAATAAATTGCATTGATGATCCCACTTTAGCCAATTGATCAGCTTTTTCGTTCCCTTCGATTCCGCAATGACCAGGAACCCAGTATAGGTTAACCTTATTACAGTAGGACAAATACTGCAATAGCTTAGTGCATTCCCAAACCAGTTTTGAAGTGCAAGTTTTGGACTTTAGAGCATTCAACGCTGCTTGGCTATCTGAACAAATACATATGTTTGCATTTTTATAATTTCTTTTTAAGCAAATCGTGGCACATTCTAGGATGGCATATATTTCAGCTTGAAATACTGTTGGCCATTTTCCCATCGGCACCGATAGGCTTATCCCAGGACCACTTATTCCAGCCCCATCCATATTATCTTGTTTCGATCCATCCGTATAGAATACTATTGACCCAGGACGAAAAGATGGCTCTCCTGTATTCCAATCATAACGAGTCACTTCAGGAACTTTGAATTGGTGATTGAAGTTGTTACGCTTTAACATCCAGTCTTCATTCATTAAAATTAGTGGACTTATTTGAAACTCTTTTAAAATGCTCCATCAAAGAAATTCATGGACCGTTTGGGCCTCAGAGCACTTTTCATTGCATCCATTTGAATAAATTGATGTAAAGGGAGAATATTGAGTAGAGCATCTAATGCCTTCGAAGGAGTACTACGCATTGCTCCAGTAATGGAAAGAGTAGCAAGTCTTTGTAACTTGTTCAATTTAACTTGTGCCGTTTGTTGTCTGGTTTTCTGCCACCAGATTAGTGATGCATAAGTGATTCTGGGTTTAACAATAGCCGAGTAGATCCAATGTATCATCTTCGGCTTTAGACCCCATTTTTTACCAAATGATCTTTTACAGACCCAAAAAGCATTTGTTGTTTTTTTCTATTTGTTGTTTCATGTGTCTGTTCCAGCAGAGTTTACTATCTAGGATTACTCCCAAATACTTATCTTCTGACGACAGTGATAATTTAACATCTCCTAGTTTAAGATCAGTGGTAGAGACTCTACGTCTTTTGGTAAAGGGTACAATTGATGTTTTCGTAGGATTTATGTTCAGTCCTTCTTGTGTGCACCATGATAGTGTAAATTTTAATGCTTTTTGCATTCTATCAAATACAATTTTATCAAATTTTCCGCGAACTATAATAACAATGTCGTCAGCAAATCCGATTACTTCAGATCCTTGATGCTTTAACTTTAACACTCCGAACACGATGCCTCCGAAAAACGTGTAACGCCAAGTTTGCAATGGCACAACTTAGCCATTTCTTAATGAATTTCAAAAAATGTGGTACCTTTAGAATTCGTAGGGTTTCTACATGATTTTGATTGCAAAAAACTTGAAAATAGAGTCGTCTACTTTTTTAAAAAGCGAAAAGAGTTGTTACACGTTTTTTTGAAAGGTGTGTGCATGATCTAGAACATCTTTTTAAAAATGGTCAATCCTCGAAAGTTATCCTAGAGTTCTACGGTTTTTTTCGACAACATGTGGAACTGCGATATAAGAAATATTTTGGGGTCATGACATAAACATGGACCCAAATGGCCATGGGGCCATCCTCTGGTAAGTCCAGAACATCCATAAAAGAGGTTAATCAATTAAACTGATCCTAGAGCTCCGAAGTTTTTTTTCCAATAACATTAGGAACTGTGATATAAGAATGAATTTGTGATCGTGACTTAAACATGATAGAAAGCCATGGGACCGTCGTCCGGAAGATCAACAACATCCGTAAAATGGTCACTCCATAGAATTGAGAGGTGGAAGAATTACTATGACGAGCACCTCAACGGTGATGCAGCAGAAAACGAAGGTGGCACGGCAATAGACCTTGCAGCCCGTGCAGAAGACGTCAGGATACTGGCCCCTGATCTTCAAGAAGTTGAGGAGGAGATCGGTCGACTGGTGAACAACAAAGCAACTGGTGTAGATCAACAACCAAGTAAGCTATTAAAATACGGTGGTGAAGCACTGGCTAGAGCGCTGCACTGGGTAATTGCCAAGATTTGGGAGGAGGGAATATTACCGGAGGAGTGAAGCAAGGTGTTGTATGCCCAATCTACAGAAAGGGGGACAAGTTGAATTGCTGCAACTACCGTGCGATCACACTGCTGAGCGCCGCTTACAAGGTACTCTCCCAAATTATACGCCGCCGCCTGTCACCATTTGCAAGAGATTTCTTGGGCAATACCAGCAGGGATTCATGTGTTTATATTCGCGATTCGGCAGGTTCTGCAGAAATGCCACAAATACAACTTGCTTACACATCATTTGTTCATCGATTTCAAATCCGCATACGACACAATCGATCGTGATCAGCTATGGCAGATTATGCACGAGTAAGGATTTCCAGATAAACTGACGCGATTGGTCAAGGCAACGATGGATCGAGTGATGTGCATTGTTCGAGTATCGGGGACACTCTCGAGTCCCTTTGATCTCGAAGGGGGTTACGGCAAGGTGATGGACTTTCGTGTCTGCTATTCAACATTGCGTTAGAATGTGTGATCAGAAAAGCAAGGATAAACACGAGTGGCATGATTTTCAGGAAGTCCATCCAGCTTCTTGGCTTCGCCGATGACATCGACATCATGGCATGGAACTTTGAGACGAAGGCGGAAACGTACATCAGACCGAAGGCGGAAGCTAGGTGGATTGGACTTGCCATCAACGCATTAAACACAAAATACATGAAAGGAAGAGGTTCTAGGGAATACAATGTTAGCCTCCCACCCCGAGTTCAGATTGACAGTGACGAAATCGAGGTGGTAGATGAGTTCGTGTATTTGGGCTCACTGGTCGAAAATGATACCAGCAGAGAATTTCAAAGACGCATTATGGCAGGGAATCGTGCCTACTTTGGACTCCGGAGGACGCTCCGGTCGAATAAAATTCGCCACGAAGTTGACTATCTAAAAGACGCTGATTAGACCGGTGGTCGTCTACAGCCACGAGACTGTGACTATGCTCGTGGAGGACAAACGTGCTCTTGGATGACGGAACGTGGAGGAGTCGAATGAACCAAGAATTGCACCAGCTGTTGGGATAACCATCCATCGTTCACATTGCAAAAATTGGGCGACTACGGTAGGCTGGGCATGTCGTAAGAATGTCGCACGACGACGCAGTGAAAATGCCCCAACAAGAACAAGAAGAAGAGGCGCGCAGCGGGCAAGGTGGATCGACCAAGTAGAAGGCTACCTGCGGACCCTTCGCAGACTACGAGGCTGGCGAAGTCTGGCCATGTGGATAGTAGAGTGGATACGACTTCTTCGGACAGCAGAGGACAACAAGGCCTTAGCCCGATTGCAAGTCATAAAATTGATCCAAGAACGAAAAACCGTGGACCTATGATATTAGAATGAATTTGGAGTTTTAACATAAACATGGAACCGAATGACCATGGGACAGTCCTCCGGAAGATCCGTAAAAATGGTCCATCCATGATACTGTTTCTAGAGCTCCGTAGTTTTGTCGAAAACACTTCTAACTGTGATATATGAAAGAATTTAAGGTCGAGACATCAACATGAACCTGGATGGCCACTGGAACGTC